GTATTATATTTAAAGAAATTGAATACATGTATGTTTCTCGCACTGTGACAAAAACGACAGTATCTAGAGCCATCAAATTTTGAATAATGTAATCCTCCACCCGAACATGGGCATCTGGACGGCCGAATTTCGAATTTGTTTTAATCCATTTCATATTTTGTAAAACTTTTAACGAATTTTTGATTAATAAACTCAACGAGTTCAGAGAGCGAGCACTGTATGAAAAATAAGTTTTATCTCCAGTGCGAAAATTCTAAAAATATGCTGTTTCAAATGTATGTGGTTTACGGGCGAAGAACATGATATTCATAATATATAAATTTATAATACACAAATAATTATTCAAAACAAATATATTCAATATTCGAAAATTAACACGCAAAACGTTAATAAAAGGTTCCTTTTGGGCGTAATATAAATCTTAATGTTCTAGATTTATTTTACCTTTTTTTTCCCCTTCATTACACTCAAAAAAAATTTTATGCTCCGAATTTTATGAATTATTAAAATAAATAATTCCACTTTAATGTTAATAAGTTAATGATGATAAAATAAATGATGTTTTTGTAATGTTATTATAGTTTTGAAAATCACTGCCTGAAAATGGTTCATTAAATAAAAAAAAAAAAAAATTATCAGATCTTGTTTAATTTTACCTTATTTATTTCAAAGCATCACATACTATCAATCTTATTTAATTTTACTTTATTTGTACGCAAAATTAAGTTCATAAATTTTGTGCTTAGAGTTTTTACCGTTTTACCAAAGTAAAGATGTTTGTACAAGAATTACGCGTGAAAAAAATGCGCGAAATGCAGTAAAAAGTGCTTTAATGAGATATATTAAATCCTATTTGGAAAAAACTGTGGCTTTCATAATCTCATCACTATACAACGTATCACATTTAATAATTAAAAAAAGTTATGTGATACAAACGCCATAGGTTTCAGTGTTAAAGTAAGCCAGATCGTCCCTACTCTTTTCTTGCCGACATGTCGGTGACCCGCCCACGCCCACTGGATTAGTCTATCTCTTATAAGGTCCATGATGTCAAAACGTTTTCGTTAATGTCAGCATTTTAAATAAACAGCTGCAGTTGGCAACTTTTTTGTTTCAGGTTAGTTCGACTGACACTATATGTTATTGCCACTTAATTCCTTTAATGATATTGAGCAAATGTTATATTACATTAAATTTAAATCATGAGCCATACGTTTTAACCTAAAGCCATACGTTTAAATCATGAGCCATACGTTTAAGTTTTTTTTCTGGGTTCGCAATAAAAAAATTATATACGAATTGGTTTTGAATGAACTGATTTCATTTATATTGAAATGATTCTATACATTCGTTTTTCAAAGGTATAGAATTTATTAATTTTGCTGGGGCCGCAGACCTCTAATAAAATAATAAAGTGTGTCTGTTGCCCATTGTATGGTTTTGATTTGAAAGAGAAAGGTTTTATGTCAAATGGCGCTACCTATGAGAAATGACAATTTTCTATGCTGTCATACACGCAAAAAAAAGTCTCGTACCAGAGTAACATTTGCCAGAAAAACTACACACGTTCTGTAGATATAAGCAATATAATGAATCTCAAAACTGAAAACATTAAAATATAGTATAGGTTAATATCAGTGGACGAAAAACTAGAAATTATTGGAAACATTTAGTTAACATTTAGAAGATTAAAACATTATGTAAAAAAATTCTTACAAGCTATGTGAAAAGCTGCAACAAAATTCAGCTGTAAGCCAAAATAAAGTACTATGCTGAGGTACAGGGGAAAAAAACAAAGCTTAACAAACAACGCTTTCCTCAAAAGCGAAAACTTTGTATGTTAATGTCAAGACTAAAATGAAATTTTTGATAGTGACTCATGTTCGTTTTCGGACGCTTGTGTTATGCAATTCCATTTTCAAATATCAGTTACTAAATGTTACCAAAATGACTACTTTTCTTTCACATATAGTATTTAGTACATTCTTTAAAATCTGCTTGTTTGCAAAAAAAGTTATTGAAATGTTTTTGATTAAAAACTAATAAAAGTTCTAAAAATGAACTCTCATAAATAACTCTTAAGTTCATATTTAATAAAGGCATGAAAATAGCGACGTTCAAAATTTCGTTAGTTATCCTTTAAGTAAAATTAGTTTCCATGTGTTTGGCATGGATTTAACTAATGTTTTCGAATAAGAATTTTATTCCAACCCTCTAAGTAGGCCTTTAGTTTGCGAAGAAATATGCGTTCCTGTAACTCTGCGTATTCAATAGGATTTAAGCTTGGAGCATATGGAGGAGTTTTCGTAAATTCAAGACAATTGTATGATAACTGCAAGAGAACATTAAGAGTTATACTAATCGGAACTTGAATATACTTTGCATTTAGATTAGGTTATTTAATTACGGCAAAGCCTCGAGGGCTATCTGCCTAAGGAGGGGATGCCTTTGTGGAGAACTTTCTAAGAGAACTGGCCGTTACACGTTACCATGGGAAAACCACGAAACCTAGGAGCCAGCCCGTTCGCAGGATTCGAACCTCGGACGAACTACCAGTGTTCAGCGACTTTACTGCTCGGCCGCTGGTGGGCCCCACTTTGCATTTAGTTTTCATGTAAATGCTTTCAGGTTTTCATTGAGAATATTTCTATATTTACTGATTCGTATACTTTCTATAAACAAATTTCTCATCACAGAGGCAGCCGAAAATTTCCAAAACATTATGCCTTTACCCCCATATTTAGCACTAGGCGACAAGTTTCTTGATTAATTTCTTCATTCTGCTTTTTCCACACGGTAATTCGTTTATCAGACACAAATACATTAAATTTTGTCTTTTCTGCAAATATAACATTGCTTCGCTACGATAAATCTGCTTACCATGGATTTTCCAAGAGCTAGGTGAATTTTTCTATTTTCCTCTTGCAGATTTCCTAATTGTATCTGTGGTGTCGTGAATGTTTTAATAATTCAAAGGTAAACTTTTACTGCAAGCTCTTTTTCTAAATCCGCTGAAAGTTCACAGCGCTAATATTTGGGTCTTGCTTGATTTTTCGTAGAATATATCTGCGTTTCCTTGGTGTTAGTTTAGAATATGGTTTATCTCGGTGCATTTTCAACAGTTCCACGCAATTTCTGTCGTTTTATAACATCAAAGATAGTTAAACGTCTTACACGAAGAAATTCTGAGATCTTTCAATTAAATTCAATTATTTAAAAAGATTTATCAACTATATATTCTTTAAAAAGAGGAATTATTAAATTTATAGTATAATCGTCGTTAATTTTAGTTTTTGCCCGACCAGCAGCCGAGCGGCAAAGTCGCTAAATAGTGGTAGTTAAGTCCAGGGTTCGAATTTCGATGAACAGCTGGCTGCATGGGCGTTTTCGTTAGTTTTTAGTTTTTCCTGGTTTTAATGTATATACGAGTCAGTTTCCCTTAAAACGTCCTCCACGAAGGCCTCCTTTCCCCTTAGGCAGCCCAAGCACTAATCGTCCTTCCACCTTTACTTCAGATAGGAAATATCATTTTGCTAATTAAGTAATTTTCAAATGATGACGATAATTCTTGTGATGTAGTGATGAAAATACAAGAAATATTATGTACCAAAACGTCTCAACAAAAGTCGAAAATATGTGAATTATGATTTGCAGATTAATAATGCTCTTTGAATAAATTTTTCTATGACAATATTTTGATGATTATTTTTCACCAAGCTTGGCTTAAAATAAAGAAAAAATAATGTATTAAAAATGTTCTGATATTTAGTAAAAGATCTTTGCAAAAAATTTCAAAAATACAAGTGCTCGAAAACAAATGCGAGTCACTGAATTTTAATAAAACAGTCTGTTTCATCTATAGCTCGTTCACTTTTGGGAAGACTCTTATTAGTGCAAAGCTAGTTTTGTTGGCATTGTAGCTTTGAACGTAAAAACTTAATATAAAACCTGGTTCAATGTTACGGTGTAGCTTATATAAGTGTTACTTAAATCTATATCTTCAATTATTTGAATAAGATTTATATCATAGAGTAAATTAGCTTCATTTGTAGATTTTCTTGAATGTTACTTCAATTTTTGGTAAGGAAAATGGTGTCGAATTGGATTCCTAATTGAATTCTTTGACATTTCCTTCAATTCATTGTTATTATAATGTTAATTTATGGGAAATGCATTCGCTGGCTTATTAAATTTGCTTCGGGACCTCGTGCGGCTCTCGCGCCAACATTTTGAGACCACTGATCTCTAGCTTGGCATTACTGCAGCTTTAAACACAATTTCAGTATTCACTTGTCAGTGGTTTATTGTCTAAAAATATAATAAAAGAAACTTTTGAAATGACTAATACTCATTGGGAGGAACCGAATTGTGATTTTGGACGCAGTAGTACGATAGAAAGTAAGAACAGCAAAGCATAGAATTAAAATTAAGTAAATTAACGCAACATAATTCCGCAATGAAATCTCGTATACCTGAATCAGATACCATTGTCTAATATTTGCATAAAAGATAATTTATTATAAAATACGTATTGTCATTTAAATATAGGTTTTTAAAAAATGTAAACGTTTGATTTCCGATTTGCTGGATTCAATGTTGCCTTTCCACACTACTTTGGTTAAATAACTTTCTAGTCAACGAAATTTAAGTTAAAAGGGGTTTAATTAACAATTTTCTTAGAGCGAGAAGACAAATTTCAAGGCCTCATAGGGCCAGAATTGTCCTAGTCTGAAATCTAAGTTTCTTAATGTTAAACCATGGGTCAGTTATATTTTAATTGTTCTTTAGATGTTTAGTTAAGACACTTTGAGTCACTCTTATGTATAATTTTCATAAGGAGTAGCTTTAAATGCTTTTAAATTTTCAGGAATTTAAAAATTTATTTTTTAAAATTTCATGAAACTTCCGTATATCTGAAATAAATTTTAATTTTCAATTGCCTTTATCGAATTTCTAATTCCATACATGATCCCTTATGTATAATATTTTTATCTAATTAGGCATCCTTACTTTTGGGATATGGAAACTCGCTTCGAATTTCTGCTGGATATAGGTAGAAAAATTCCATTTTACACAAGGTAAGAAATTTAGTTTTAGAAATGTACTTAAACCGACCAGGCCAAGCATTACTTTGAAAGTTTGTGCACTTAAACATTTTACTAGTCTTTTTAAGGGCAACAAAGTCAGTAATACATTCTTACAGAAATATCGGTTCGATAGCATACTTAGTTACATAAGGTATTAGTTTCTTGCAGTTTTATGATTACAAAATGTATTTTTCTGTATTTGTTCAGACTAGTACTACACTTGAGTGTACGGCTTATCTACCTGAACTCCTGAATATATAGTTTCTTATAGTGCAACCGCAAGTCCATCCTCGGTGAAATATGTTCGTAAAAGAGCAGTTTGCCTACAAACAACTACTTTCGATCAGCTGAAAGATTTAACTGAAATTTTGAATCATCAGATCTTTATCAGCACGCTGTGGAATTAAGAGCTTCTACAGCTACAGCGTGTTGAAACACATCGGTCTGTCCTATTCTGAACTGTGATTTCAAGTTTAAGGTTGCTCACAGTTAGGTGTAGTCAAGTAATATTCGAGTGGTTAAGTACGCTGAATACTCAGTTCTACCTAATTTTGAATCCCATTGAACGAATTGCCTACATGGGCTATCTAAGGTATTCATGCATATGGTGCGTAATGTTCATTCTTATACAAACCAATTTCCCTCGCCTTTCTCCAAGAAAGGTAGTCTTCTATTTACGCAGATAATCCTTTGGTGCTTTCCGGTAAATAAGCGTGCCATATACGATGGAAATATACATATGGTGATACTGAACTTGCAAATTGGCAGAGTAATGGTTTTTACTGGATAAATAACACTGCCTGGTAAAGTTGATGCAAACAGCTTTATTTTTGACGAAATTTAAGACTGCTTGATTGGTTTTTATTCATTAGTTGGATCAAAATCAGACTGACTAATACTTTTACAAGTTTTAAACATTTGATTGAATAAATAGCAAGCTCTTTAAATTAGCAATTTATCTTCAGTTTAAAGAAGTTGGAAAATAGTTTAAAATGTTAAGTTACTGCAATAACACGGTACATTTAACTGATAATTACTTGTTGGAACGGCTTTTCATATATTTCACTTCGATATTGAATTTGTATTTATTTGCAGCAAGCCAACGAGAGTAGCTGAAATGCTGAAACAAAGTTGTATAGAAGCCATAGACTGGGTAAGTTTAGAAACGCTGTAACTTTCTTATAAGTATTCCTTCTTTGGGTTTATAATCGAATATGTATACAAAAGTGACATGTTGCTGTTATGTTTCTTTTTTGTTTCCAGAAACTGTATATATTATGTAGCATGAAACTAGAAATAATTTATTTAAATAACCACATAATGCAATTTTCTTTTTAAATTTTTTGCGGCACCAACTGATTATCTCTTCTCAACACAATCTTGCTTATACCTCACCAGTGACTGAGCGGTTAAAGACAGTTCAATACTAATAGTTCGTCCTGGGTTCAAACCTAGGCGTACGAGCTAGCTGCATGGTTTTTTTTTTTTTTTTTGTGGTTTTCTTCATGCGTGTACATTAATATGAACCTTTAAGTTTTTCACGAGAGACTTCTCTCGGCTGAGGAAGACAGCTTCCTTGTGCTGTCCCATATCAGTACGAACTGACATCCACTTGACGATTTCGCAGAGTCAACTGCACACGCACGCATGCGCGACTTCACCTTCCGTCATTGGCTATGACTTGGACTCTATGCTATGGATGTTGTCGAAGCTAATGAATTCTGTACCTTATGACTGAAAACTGCGATACCTATATCGCAGTCTGAATGCTTCTTTAGAGACTATATTTGCTTGCATTTAAAGTTGTTAGTTTTCAGCAATTAAATAGAGACAAACATTTTTGAAATAAGTTTTCTTTCTATTCTCACTCTAATATGATTGCTAATAAACCAATGCTGCAGATATCTTTAAAGTTTTAATACCTGTAATTCCTTTTAATCAATGTTAATTCTTTTAACACTATTTTAGGAAAATGTATTCATGAAAGCTATTAAGAATATAACGGAGAAAATGAAGTTCAACAGTTCATGAATACATCAATTACTTTCTGAAAACAATGTAAATGTTTATATTTTTTAATTTCGTCATTTAGCTGGTTTTGTTCTTGCATCTGCCTCTTCTCCTCGGAACACATTACCTATAAGGGTATCAACAGAATTTCTTTTCTTTGTCGTTAATACTTCGTTCGAATATATTCACATCTTTCTGCAATTTATTTTCTTCTCTTTTCGACTTTAAAGTACATTTTACTTTAATTTTGTAGTTTAAATTTTCATATTTATTTTTTGCTACTTTGTCATTCATTCCTCTCTCGTACTGCGAAGTCTATATCAAAGCTATATGATTTCAAAATTTTCTAGCATGAATATACTCGGGAAATGGAAGTCAAATATATAGGAATAAAATTATTAAAGAAGTGTCCTTTCTGAAATTCTTAAATAGTCTCGAAAAAAGTTTAAATTATAAACCATTTATTCAGAACATCTGATGTTGATATTTGAAGTTTTCAAACTATTGAAAACTACAGTAAATTAAGTGCAGTAAATAAATTGTTCTTTTGTATGAAACTGCTCTCTTGTGGAAATTTTTGTACTGTGCTCTTGCGTTGTCTGCTTTCAATTTCTACAATGAATGACTTTCTTTGAAAAATAAAATATTAACAGCAGAAATAAAGCCCTGCGGCATCACGACTCGGATGAAAGACGTTTAGTTTGCAGAGTCGTGCATTGTAATCACTTTATCAAGGATTACTACGAATGAATGACTAAATAAATGCATGTAACTTTCAGAACTTTAGCTTCGATTTTATTTCCTAATTCTGTGTAGGGCGGCTTATTATTTTATTAAAGTCCAATTTAAGTATATTCAATTTAAGTCCTGCCTCTCCCTCAAAAATTTACAAGACTTGACAAATTTTTACGAAAAGCTCTTCATTTACGGAATACTTTATCGTAAATTACTTCATTTTGTTGATACTATTATACTTCAAATTTAAATATGTGCAATTCCTGTTTTAAAATATGTATTCTTTACAGACACTTTACATCGAGCCTATGGTAATGGCGTACATTAACGCAGCTGCTAGTAAATTCTTTGTGAATGGGTTTGAAGATCTCTTGCAGTTTGCACTGACACTAGAAGCAAATTTTCCTATGATGTAAGTATACTTTACCGTTACTTTTCTACGCACTACATGTAAAAATTTTCAAAAACTTAAGTCTCACCAGATGCTATTGCAAACTGCTACTATTTAAAGATGTTCGAATGTTCGAAGGTGCATAATCGTTTCAACTTTTTTCAATTATTAACAATTTTTATTAACTGAAGTCTAAAAAAATAATTTTAACTGTCTTCCCAAAAGTTGCAAGTTTGTTTACTCTCCCTGAGCTCGCATCCAATACTTAGCTGTTACACGCTCTACTAACCCATTTTTAAGCTTCATTATTGAGCATTAATTTCGCCATATACAGGCGCACAAAATTTCAAAAATTTAAAAATCTAATGGTATACGCTTAGGATTCTCGATGCAGCGTGCAGTGGGCATTCATTTTTCTGTTTTTCCAGCCTTTTCTCAGTTCATCATATTGTTCCCTGCGTACGGATTTGTAATAGATTTAATGCACACGGATCTGATGATACTACGTTGATAAAATTTATTTCATCAAGTGAAACACTTGAGTTCTTGAACTTTAAACAGTATCAGAGTACAATCGGTAGTTACACTTCAAACTACTAAAACCCTTATCACATACGGATATTTGTTGCCGGAACAATATCTTTGGCGAAATAGGGTTACCATCTTCACTTGATAAACAGGCTGAAA